CTCTTCAATCATAGCATCAGATTTCTTGATTTTCACGAATGTACAAAGCCCTGAGTGAACTATCTCTTCAATCATAGCATCAGATTTCTTGATTTTCACGAATGTACAAAGCTCAGCATAACCTGCCAAAAGCAGAAGTAACTCATTGGTGGTGCCCTCCTTCCTTCCACTCCTCTTCGAGGCAAAAGAGTTGTGCATTACTAGACACAAAAAAAGACGTCCATCTGCTCAAGAGCTGCTGAAGTATGGTGTCGTCCCAGCCACTACACTCGTGGTTAGTCTCACACCCATTCCCCCACCCATGAAAACCGCAAATCTAGCCTACCAAGATCAGAGACCACACTCATTCCCCAGGCCACCCCCACATTACCACAGCCTCTTTTCAGAGACACAGGCTAGGAACCATCAGAAAAATCAAAGGACCTCTAGATCTGTCTTGTCTTGCCTTGTCTGTCTGCAAGGAGTCTGGAAAACTGAGGGAAAATGATAACTTTAAGGGATTTTGTGGACCTTATAGCCCCATTTGCCTGCCCATTGACTGCATTTATTTTGAGCCATTATCTTGCTGTTGATTCCCCCAAGCTGTCATGGCTGACATACAGTGATTTGAGACTGTGACCCCACTAAGTTTCCACAAGGGACAGCTCTCCTAACTTGATCTGAAGGACCAAAAGAATTCAACTTCATTCTGGAAACTCCTGGCTAATCCAAAAATTGGAAATGAGGTGGAGCGCGGGTGAAGCTAAGTCACTCAAAGCGGCCACATCCTTTATTATGCATAACTTTAAGCAGTACAGGGAAATTAGCGACATATATAATGGCCAAAACAGTTTTTAGAACCAGGATGTACATTTATTTCTGCTTTAAAGTTGGGGAACTTATAGAGATTGTGGAGCCGGCCTTGAATGGCCGTTAGAGGACTGCAGTTGGAGGTTGCCGGTTCTTCTGCCACCAAAGAATCATTTCCCCTCTAAACACCTCAAATGACTTAATCAAAATAACTGAGTGAGGACCAAAGAGGGAAAATTATACTGTACTTTCACTTCAGCAAAGATCCTGATTTCCTCTTCCACCACTGAAGTCTTCTACTCTCACCAACTAAATATCTGTTGTTGTTGTATAGGTTAAACCAACTGCTTCCCATTCAACTACTGCCTCTCTGACTGTATACATGTGCTACAGAAAGGGCTTGTATTCATGCACCATATGGGAATACTTTCTAATAGATCTATTTTTGGTCCTTTTTTTCCCTCAAGCTAAACAGCTGCACTTATTATGTGCAATACAATACAAATCCAATAGGCCTGCTGCACTGTGCAATTAGAGACCATAATGATTATGTAATTCTATTATTCAGCAGACATAGCCAAGAGTTAACCTTAAGCCATTTTACAAGAAAGGTCACTGGAGCAACCAAGACAAACACAGTTACTGTCACACATGCGGGACGTTACACTGACATGTGAAATGCATCCTCATGTTAGGGTATTAAAGTAAACCTCAGTGTCTGTGGACATACTTTGATTTATTGAGTTGTGGTTAGAAGTTCCCAGAGGACCACTTTCTGCCTTTTAAAGGTTCAGCCAAAATTAAACAACTTCCTGTCATACACAATGTGCAGCCGTGTCCGGCCTGCTGTTGCCCTCTTGTGGCTCCTTCATTGCAATGTCTAATCATTTGCCACCGGCGTCCCCCCTCTGAGCCCGCTCTGTAATCACGCTACATTGCACACTTAATTGGCCAAACGTTTTGCCAGCTGAGAGATTTGCACAAAATTAAATGTTAATTCAACCTTGAAAAAAGTGCCAAAACAAGCTCCGAGAGTGTCAGTTCATGCAACAGAACATGGGTTTGAGTTTCCTTTTAATTAAAGAATGAAAAATTGCCAACAAAATTACAAACAGGCTTCAACGTGGCCTCCTCTCTGTCTGAGAGTGTTACTGTAGAGTGAGACTGCATCTTCCCAACAAACAGGAAGTGATGCTGGGTAAAATAAAAAAGCACATTTTTCAAAAAGTGCATTTTTAAAGCGAAAATCATTCATTAAAATCAACTAATTACAAAAATGAGTCCCTATGCTAACATGCACACATTGATAATGCTTGCACACTGTTTAGCAGGTATAACGTTCAGTTTAGCGTGCTAGCATTGCTGTAATCAAATGGTTGTAATCTACAGCTTCATCACTAGATGCCACTGAATCCTAAACACTGGTCCTTTAAGTAGTAATATAATAACCATAATCATAAAAAATACCCATACTAAGATAAAAATATATCTTGAATATCTTTGGGTTTTGAACTATTGGTTGAACACCTTATAATGGACACTTTTCACTAGTTTCTGATGAAAAAAAGAAGATAGAAGAAAATAATGACAGATTATTCAACAGAGAAAATAAGTTGCAGTGTGACACTTGACTTTAATAAAGTGTCTAACATTTACAAACAGTAAATAAATATTAATAGTTTAAGCAGTTGTAAGCAGATTTATGTGTTTATTACGGTATTTTTTAAACAACTATAACACTATTATAATGAATTATAATACAATAAAACACAGTTGTAATAATCTAGAATATGTCTTTACAGGAGAAGTTATACTGCACATTAATAAACACTTAAAATGTCCTTATAGCTGCTTCTAACTGCATTCTAGTGTGTTTTAAACCATTTTATTAGTGCTTATAAATGTTTAATAAAAGTGTTAACCTGTTTTTATGTATAGAGTGAGGCTTTATATAGATAACAACCAGTTCAATCCTATTTTATGAGCTCATGTGTGTGTCACATTATACATATTATATTCAGTGCTGGGATCCAGCTGCATTTTACACGCTGTAGACCACGCATGAACCAGTTCCTTAATTAAACTTCAACCATTAGCTGGAGGTGTTTAATGTCTGATTCTTTCCTCACATATTTACATAATTAAGCACCAGTTATGCAAACACATCATGAATTACATAAGCCAAAGAAGAGACCAGCGTATCCATCGTATACCTCAGCACTGTCTGTCTGTCTCTCTGTGTTAACTTGAGCGTGAGATACTGCACAGTAAGAAGGAGGTTTGATGGCTGCATGGATGCCTGATGTGATGGAATCTGATTTGCAAATGAAGCAGAAGTGCTCCAGGGATGAAACTAGAGTTGTGTTTGTACAGGGGGTTAGGCGAGGAGGACGGCCAAAGGGCTGCCCACGAGCAAACGCCGCACAGATATGAGCAGAGCAGCCGTGCTCATGGGGGGTAGAGTAAGCTCTCACAAGCTGGCAGTTTAAACTTAACCAACCAGAAGAAACCAAACACGGGGAGATACATGGTTTTAAATTAACTTAAGCACACCTTTTCTGCCCACTGGGGCATCATCTTGGCCCAACTCCTCCATCCATCCATCCAATCCACAGCCCCATCCATTCACCTCCATCCCTCAGCCCTTTCCCCATCCATTCTCATCCCTCCTACAGTTAATAATATCAATTCCCCTTTATCCAAGTTTTGCACATATAAGCCATTTTAATTCCACATCCTCATTGATGTGGACTTTGTTAGTGAATTGACACAGTTTGGTAGCGGTGCACGCACTCTTAGCCAAAGACCAGAGGAATATAAAAGACCAGCGGGAGAGAAAACAGAGCAGGGGGGAGACAGGGAAGCATAGTTAATGACAAATGACGGATAAATGCCAAATTCATGACCATGCATGCTGAGAGCTTAAGGTCAAAGTGTAGCTTGTGTGCATGTGTGTGTGTGTGTGTGTGGCTGCCCTGCACACACACATACACATGTCTCTGTTCAGTAATGTCATTAATAACCCTGGGTATGCTGCTTGTTCGCTCTATATGCCCGAATGTCTGAGTGTGTGTGTGTGTGTGTGTGTGTGTGTGTGTGTGTCTACTGTAGATATGTCATTACCCATCAACTTGTATCTCCAGCAGACGCGCTGTGGCAAAGCGCTGAGTCTCGTGAGCGAGTGAGTGGTCGCTATCTGAGAGGGCGTGCTGTGGTGAACCTCAAACTGTCCCTGAGGACTTTGTCTGTCTCCCTCTGACGTCGAGCTGGACGGGCTGACACACTCAGACAGAGAGAAATAAAGAGCAAAGGGGAGAGAGCGGAAAATATGATGGGAGGAACTCATGAAGATGGAAAAAATGCAAGAATTAAAGCTGCATGATTTGATTTTTTGTTTTGTTTTTTGGCCACTTGGGGGCGCATTTCTCTCACAGACATGGGGCCTCATGCATGGACACGTTTATTTTTGTTTGTGTCCATGATTATCATCATGTATCATCAATATCTTTTAGATATCTTATATTTTTACTCATATACTGAATTAATTTGTTATTTGGTATGTTTATTTTTATATTATACATATATACAGTATATTCTATGAATTGCTTTTATTTGGTGGCATCTCTCTAATTCTTGCCCCTGAGCCTGAGTATTTGCACACGGCATACTACCTGCCCTTATAAAGTGTTTAAGGGATGTTACTTATGTTAATAACAATTGGCTACATGCCTCCAATTTAAGATCAAGCGGGATTCGTCACTCAGCACACTGAGGGCTCATCTGGTAAGAACAGATTTGGGTGGTT